AATGTTGCTCTTAATAAATTGGATTTCCCGTTTAATCTTTGTTTTATTTCATCCACTAGTTAATCCGTAAAACCGAACGCCCACCGCCTGCTAAAATAAGTTATCTATTTTACATAGTCAAGTCATTTATATATTACTAGCGACCCGCCCCGGCTTCGCACGGGTGCAATATGCATGTATTACACATATAAACCTTCCTTAAGATTCACTCTACCTATTAAAAAAACCGCATCAAAATCCGTTGCGTAGTTTTAAAGATCTAAGCATACATAAGGACAGACAGACGGCGGATAGCGACTTTGTTTTATAATGTAGTGATTATATATCATATATATTATTATATAATATAATACATGGCATACAGGCAAACTATGCTATATGTATGAAAAACTGACTCGATTATGCGAGCTAAACTATTAATTACCTTATTTAAGCTGGCAGTGGACGTTTAGCTCTTAACTTACACAAAAATTATAATTATTAAGCAGTAAAGAGATGTTACAATGCTATGAAATACCTACGCAAGAAGTAAACCAATTAGAAAAGTATACCTAAATTAACAGTCGCCACACCAGTGAGCTGCGCGACGTCGCCGCGACCGCGCATTCTGCTCATAAGGAAGAACCCCTCTGTGGTTCGAAACTAGTAGAGCTTTTCTCAGTATATTCACATGAGTAACCCGCGATTTTTAGTTAATTTAGTATGATATATCTCACGATAGTTATTATAAAAACAAAAGTATATCTAAACAAATAGAAAAATATTTTCTAAGTTAGTCAACAATACAGATACAGGGCAATTAAAACAACACAATAAATATGCTCAAATAGATTTTATTCAACCAGAATTCCATTACTTTGCATAATCTTATCATTGCGTCTATCTACACGTCGTGACACTTCTCGAGTGTCACCACGCAAGCTACCACTTTTCAAGTGCACTTACAAACGATACTTGTACTTATCACACATTTACAATTTATTAAAATAAAACTCTATTCCATTGTAATAAGTATTAAAATATATTTTCCATTCATATTTACAAGATAAAAATTTGTTCGAGGTCACTTAAAAATATTTAGTTTTTTCAAGGTACATGTTGAAATTCATCCCCTACCGCGGTGGCCGCTCTCCACTATCTACATTATAGACCTTATTTCCAATGTTTAGAGACTACTTTTATATGAACAAATTTAGGGGATGAATTTCAATATATATAACGTGAAATATATTTTTAAAATAACATCACGCTTGTTATTATTGAAAGAGTAGACAGAAGTATACATTCAGTAAATACGTACTAGAATTGGGACAAAATAAGACAATCCGTGCTACTATTTTCCTAAGATTGTCATCATTAAAGGCCCATTTTAATATTGAACAGACTTGACTCAGAAATTGAATTCAAAACCTCGTGCTACGCAGTTGAATTACGACTACTTTATCAACAATAGTCAATTTGCAATACATAATGTCCATAAAAGAATCAAATCATACATTTTATTAATATATAAATTCTTTAAACAAAACCCTTTAAGATTTAAAATTTTAGACCGTATGAAAACGTACGATAGTCTAAGAGCTACATCGCTCTCATTTCACGTCATTCGAGATAATAAAATGTTAAACAAGTATACTCCTAGACTATGCATTTATAAGTCACGCAAAATTCTTACAAAGTTTTTACAAAAATGGCTTCAAATCAATCTTAGGCCTGTTTTAGTAACCTTTATAAAAGCCAGAAACACATTATCTTTTTGGTATTTTTCCGTATATTCTAATGGCACACAATTTTTTACTTATGGCTCATTTATTAAATAGCAACCGATAATCAAAATATTAAACTTACACATTTATCTTATAGTATTACCCAAAGGAATCATATTCCAAGTGTTCAAGTAGAATTATCAACACTATTACAGTAAGAGTAAAGTACATTTTCCTATACATTAATAAAAATACATCTCCTTTAAGAATTTTATCTAGTTATATGTAAAATGCACTATTTAAATTAAATAAATAGTTTTAGTGATTCGTCATCACAGATCGCAATGTTCATTGTAAGTTATCAACAAAAGTTCATGTATAGTAACACAAGTTATTATGTAGGTACGAAAATAAAGATTGATTTGATGGGGGCGACCGTTTTTGTCAGCGTTTTGGTCATCATTTTTTTATGGAATAAGCCAGTAAACGAGCAGATGGATCACCTGATGGTAAGCAATCGGCGTCGTCCATGGACACCTGGAATACCAGAGGCGTTACAAGTGCGTTACCGGCCTTTTGAGATTAGGAATTCAGGCAACTGTCATATACATGGCAAAGAACAGGTGTTATTATTAAAGTAAAGAATTAAATGTTTCTTTTATATTATAATACTTGTACTGCTGAAGGTTGATGTTGTATGAATTATATGAAAACAAAAATGATTTAAATTGAAAGACATTTTCTTTTTGTCAGCGTATCGGGAGTGTTCCGTTTACACCCTGTATTGAACGTACAAGTACAAGTGTGTGACACTAGGTAATTACCTATTGGTCGAAGAACGAGGGGTTCACACTATATGGTGAGCAAAAATATAGTACTTCAGATTTTGGAACGAGCGCCTAGCTTCACTGACGGACTGATTGACAAACTATTATTAATTTTATATTTGTTGACGTTTCAAAAGTCCCAAATTATGGTTGAATTGAAATAAAAGTGTTTGTGTTTTTTTATTATTTTTTATATTAATATATATAATGAACTCATGAATACTAAAAGGCTATTTTAAATTGTACTTAAATATCGTGCCGTCTCTGTCATTTTATAAAGAACTTGTAGGGACAGAACTATACTTAAGCGCGACTTAAAATCGAGTAGTATTTCAGTATTCGAGCGTTATATTATATGTAACAATATTTACTGTCTCTGTACTGAGTCGACCTTTATTTTCGTACCTGTATATTACATAACTTGGCTGAATAAACTAGAAGTTGACAATTAATGGAATACTCTTAAAAGTTCAATGAAAGTTTTAAAATGTGCAAGACATTCACACATTCATTTACAATCTTCGATCAACAATAGCAACTAGATAAAGGGTTACGTACAAAATCAAGCTCCAGTTCTGTCCGTGTGAATAATAATAGTAAAAAAATAACGAACTGAGAAAAATGTTTTAAAATGGTTTTAAGTTCAACCTAATAACAACCATGGCACCTAATAATAAAGTCATAAATCGTCAAAGTATTATCTAATACTTACGACCATTCGTCACATAAGACAAGAAAAGCATTTTCTTACTCCTGTCATGTAGAAATTAAAAGACATAAGTTATACAATATCTAGTTTGAATTCAACCTTAAGCTAGAACAAATAAATATAATTTTTCCGTTATTGCCTTGTGATCTATATCGTTTTGTTTTGTTTCGTTTTGCTTCTTCGAATTTTGAATTTCGCTACAGGAGGTATGTATGGAGTCGCGTTAAACACTAAAATAATTTTATTTTCGGGATCTTAGTATACATCACTTATTTTTATTAGCGGTACGTTTTTGTGTATCATATGTTTATTTACTTTGCCATTAAAAGTCTAAGTCAAAATCATTTATTTCAGTTAGACCAGGAAGGCACTTTTGAACGTCAACAATATAAATTTAAAAGTGAACCTATTTGCTCATTCCAAGGTGTAGATTCCTATGGAGAAGAACGAGCAAGAAACTCCAAAGGTTAGGTACTCTTTTCCAATCAGGTTACAATACAAATTTGTTTTACAATACAAATCGACTCCATGGATCCACTGTTCTGTTTAAACAAATGTTTGTGCGCATGTTGGCGAGGCTTGGCCAAGGGATCGCCAACACACGCTCAAACATTGGTGGCGATGGTTTATAATTGGTAATTTTGTCTAATTTGATATTATTTACTAATTTAAAAGCTTAAAATATAACTTATACTTTATGTACTTATCGAAAGTAAGACACTCCGGCCGTTATATTGCTTTTTCGGTTATTATTTTTGCAACTTGCAATTACGCACTGCAGCATCGCGAGACGTGATTACGTTGGCCATGTTTGGAGCATACTAAACAAAATAAGAGCTCACTTCTCAAGTGAGCTCTTATTTGTCGAGACGATTTTCTTGCGCCGACCCGATATCTAGTTGTTATTGTTGATCGAAGTTTACAATACATAGATTCATCATCAAACGACAATTACTATATATCGAACTAGAAAAACCAATCTATCGTGGTCTTGTTTTGTATGATCTTTCCATACATTCAGTCGGTCGGTTTAGACTGGTTATGCATACCTTGATGTGTTGCCATATGGACAACAAAATATAATTTAACAAAAACTTTAATGCAGTTTGTAAAATCATTTACGTCGAATAGGACTCCGTACTCAATGAATTAAGTAAAAGGGTGGAGTCCAGAACAAAATAACCTAGTTTCCACAAATAGGATAAAATACTACCTACATAACAGTAATATTTCGCTAGTAATATTATTATTACACCCGTGTCAGGGAACGTGTCTATAACAATATACACGAACACATATAAATGAGAATTTCCAATGAAACACCCAATATTACTATACTCGACGTACTACTACCATGTATGTATGCAAATCAGGGTCTATGCATTGAACACCATTATCTTTTTTAGGGGTAAACGAGCAGATGGATCACCTAATGGTAAGCAATCTACGTCGCCCACAGACGTCCTCAACACCAGAGTGCGTGCACCGTCTTATCAAAATGTTAGTTTACACATTAAAACTCCTTTTACTAACTTATCCGTGTAAATATATTCATAATTCTTAGTAAGTGTTTTAACACAGTACATATCGCTATTTTAATATTATAGACCTTTTCACAGATCTGTTAACTGGCCTACAAGTCTAGGTTGACTTCAAAAAGTCTACAATAGTTACAATTCACTATTACACCTCTTAGACAAGTCCTTTGCATGATTTTTGCGTTATTATTTCATAATCCGCGTATTTTAACTCATCACTTTATGTCATAAGGAATCCAGGTTCACAGTTGCATTCATTTTCATCGGATTTTACCTGAAAAAATAATAATAATAAGTATTTATCAAGTCGTAAATAATTACGGCTGTTTCTCATCTTGCTTAGTAAGTAGCCCATATTTGTAATATTAAAATACGTTATACATTAAATCCGCGAAAAATACAACATATTATAGTTTTTTTTTAAAACGTTGCCTTACATTAGGAATTCTCCTGTGTTGTGGGTGCGTTTACAAACATACAAGTTCACATACACAATAACACCCAGACCCGAAACAACAATTTATGGATCACACAAAGTGTTGTTCCGTGCGGCAATCGAACCCGCGACACGTTGCACGGCAGCCGGTTGCCCACCGCACCAACCGTGCAGTCATTATCTTATAAATTTCAAATTTTATACAAAATTATTCCAAATTCAATAAAAAGACTTTAAACTAAGTATAGAAAAATTTTGCAAGGAAATACATATTAAGTAAGTACTAGTCAATCTAACTTACCATAAGGAAGTGATGCAGCGTAAGTGTCTCGGCCCTGGGTCTGAGGTCGGGGTCGTGTGTGAGGCAGGACAGACAGAACTCTTGTCCCTCGTCCGACAGGGTGTCGGGGATCTCGGGCCGGCCGCCCGACCCCACCAGGAACATTATCTGGTAGTTACTGTCGTACTGGGAGAACGGACGCTGAGGGGGAGAGAACAACATGTTAGTGAATGTCAAACTTATGAGTAAAAATATTAGGATTAAGATTAAGGCACTTCTGAAACGTCAGAACCCATGAAATTCTACGAAATAAATTATTCAACACTCATGTGTAGGTATTCCACACATTTTATTAAAAAACATTATGTTACCGTAAATAAAATACATAAAAAATGATTAGAAAAATAAATAAAGTGGTCTCCAATTAACGAGCTGCCGATTTCAATCAATTAAGTAATAATATAAATGAAATATAATGATCTCACCTTGCCGGACGCCATCTCAGTGACGACGCAGCCGAGCGACCAGATGTCGGCGGCGCGGCCGTGGCCTGACGACTTCATGAACACCTCGGGGGCCATGTACGCTAAAACATCAAAAAATCTAGATAAGCTTCCTTATCACCAACCTAAGAGTGTCTATTTAAAAGTATCTACGTGGTTGCAATAAAGATGTATTTCATAAAAAAACCCTAACAAATGCTTAGATTTTGAATCAGCCCTTAACATAGTGGGATGTAATCTTTATATATCTTTATAGATTCACAAATCAGCCCGGCAGATGGCGCTGCAGTCCATGTTTAGGTTATTTATCCTAAACAGCTGAACTAATTTGAATGAAATTTTGTTTATACATTCAAGTGAATATGCAGGACAACGTCTGTTGGGTCCGCTAGTATAATATAAAATACATAAATAAGATAATATAAGATGACAAAAAAACCCTGACATAGATAATATACAGCTAAATCGAGGTATGCAACATACCCTGTGTGCCGACGAAGCCCTGTAGTTCCCCGGGCGCGGTGGTATTGGCTCGTATCTTCACTGCGCATCCAAAGTCTCCCAGCTTCAGGCAGTGACCCTCGTTCGTTAGGAAAATGTTTCCACCTGGAGAATTGAAAATAATTTATAATAATAGAGTTTAATGTCGAAATTGTTGATAAAGACGCGTTTGCTTAAAAGCGTCGTATCACTAAGGTAGGGTATATTGTAGGGTAGCCAAGTTAAGAGGTCTACCAACAGTCAGTCAGTCAGTTCCAAGTCAGTCTGTCAGTCGGTCGGTCAGTAAGTCAGTCAGTCATTTAACGGACAGTCGGTCAGTTAGTCAGTCAGTCAGCCAGTTCCCAATGAATTGGTCAGTGAGTCAGATCTCAGTCAGTCGGTTAGTTAGTCAGTTCCCAGTCAGTCAGTCGGTCAGTCAGTCAGTTCCCAGTCAATCGGTCAATCAGTCAGATCCCAGTCAATTGGTCAGTCAGTCAGTTCCTAGTCATTCGGCCAGTCAGTCAGTTCCCAGTCAGTCGGTTAGTCAGCCAGTTTCCAGGCAGTCGTCCGTCAGTCAGTTTCCAGTCAGTCGGTCAGTCAGTCAGTTTCCAGTCAGTCGGTCAATCGGTCAGTCAGTCAGTCAGCTTCCAGTCAGTCAGTCATTCATTTAGCTTCTAATCGGTCTCTGGCAGTCCTGGGTGGAGGATTATTTGTATGTTGTATGGTTGGCACGATGTGGCTGTAAGTACGTACTCTTGATGTCCCTGTGCGCGATGTTCCTGGCGTGCAGCTCCCGGACGGCGGACAGCAGCTGCTTGGTGTAGCGGCGCACCGTGTGCTCGGCCAGCGCGCCCGACGTGGCCACCAGCGCCTCCAGGGAGCCCTCCACGCACAGCTCCATGAACAACAACATCTCCTCCTGGGGGACAGGGGGAGAGGGGTTAGGAAGTACTCCAAATTATACTTGTGAATAATAATAGAGTCGAGGCTACTTTTGAGGGGAGCAAATCATTCAATGACCTCTCAATTTGGGGAGAGCTTTAGAGAACATTTTTAATGCTTTAACTCGTCGAGTACCGGTTTTATAGACACAATTAAAGAACAATAGGTTGCGGTCACCGGTGACCACTTGGTGTTTGACAGTTTAAAACAATCCCGTTCCTACTCGTGCTACGAGTCGGAGCCCCGATATCCCACTAAGTTGTTCGCGACTCCGGATCGCGCAGCCCTACTGGGCTCATCTTTGGTAGTGTGTTTGCTCTTTAACCTCTTGTATGTCGGTATTTAAGATATAATAAAAACGCATTGTGTCTCGCACAGATCTACGCTCCGACGTACCAGAGGTTAAATGAATGGGAGTAAGGACGTTCGTTTCCTCAGTCTCTCAGGCCTCCACATGTTTCTAACTTAGTATAATTGCTTCGCAGAAAGAGGAAACAGCACTTCGGTTCCCCGTACCCTGTCTTAAACCAAATTCCGAAGTAACCGTCGGTTTTCAGATCACAGCGGGGCTGAAAACTACAAAACTAAGAGCCAAGCGGAGTAGATCCCGTACCCGATGCAGCTCGCAGCCGTAGTAGCGCACGAGATGCGGGTGCAGCACGCCCTCCAGCACGCGCAGCTCGTTGGCGGCCCGCTGCAGCGCGCGCCGGTCGCCCGCGCCCACCGACAGCTCCTTCATGGCCAGCAGCTGCCCGCTCTCCGTGTTCACCACCGTGTACACCTGCGGCCATACACCTTGTACTCAACTGCTCATCATCTTATTAACCATAAAAGTCGTTCTTTTTTTGTTTAACGTGATTGATTGATACATTGCACTCTGATTGGTTTGCTCCAATGAACCAACCAATCAGAAGGTTAAACGCAGTAACATTTCGATATCGTTAGCCTTCTAACCGTGCATGGTCTCGAACGACTTAAATTAACTTCAGTTGACTTTTTGCTGGACTAGACAAATTATGCTGTTAACTGCAACATGTTTTTCATTATTGTGAACCACGTTGGGCTTCGTAATTAGTCGAGCTTTTTCAATCAGTTCTAATTGCCTAAATAATAAAAATTATCAAAACATTAAACTTATTTCCAAACCTTACTTATTCCCTATACCCTATGACTATCTTACCTTCCCAAAGGTGCCAGCGCCGATCTTCAGTCCGCGCTGCCACTTGAAGGTGAGCTGGCGCAGCTTGGGCTCGTAGCTGGTGAGCGCGGCGCCCAGCACGTGTCCGACGCTCTTGTTGGCGCGCAGACGCGCGTCGCGCTCCGTGTCCACGCGCTCCGTCGCCGCCAGCACGCGCCGACGGTGCGCTGGAAACACATACATTCAAAATACAAACTCAATAAAGACGCCTCTAGAAACTATACACTAACTCCTCCCTAACTTAGACATGGGTAACATAGTTGGGATCACTGTATAGGCCTCAATGAATGTACTATGTTCGTTTTGTTTTATATTTTTTTTATTTATACTTCACAATAGACAGTTATAAAGTGTTAAAAATCATAGGTAATGCTTACATTTGGATTCTGCCTCTGGGTAGCTGTGCAGGTCTGGTTCCATGGGGGGCGGGGTGGGGGGTGTGGCCGCCTCCTTGCTTGTACTACTGCTCGTACTGTTGCTGGGGAATGGACTCTGGAATCGTTCAAAGGTAAATTAAAAACTGATAGCTATTATAATTATATAATCTTTATTTTCATAGTATAAAATAAAGTTGCCTACCACGTCTCCCTTCGCAATAATCTAAAAAACCACTGCACAGAGTTTAATGAGATTTCAATCAGTGAACAGCAACATTAAGATTTGTGTGTATAATATCTCTTAAAGATGACACTAGTCTAGTCAGTATATAAAAATCTAGATGTATACGGATTTATAACTAAAAATGATGATTACTTCCATTTCATGACATTTTTGTTTCAACAATGATCTTTCTCCTCTGAGAAAACGTATAGAACTTACCGCTAGCCTTGGCCGTGGGCGGGGCGAGTGCGCGGGCGGGTGCGGCGCGGGCCGGGAGCCAATCACGTGCGAGATACAGCCGTCCATCAAGGACTTTAGCTCCTGAACAAATAACGTACATATTACAATTAAAGGAATATCCTTTTTAATATACATGTTGTTCCCGGAATTATGAATTAATTCAAACTAAACAGTGACATAAAAAAGTTCTTTGGTTTATGTATCTTAAACTCTTTTTTACTTTCTATTTTAAACGTTAATACTTGATATAACATACCTCAAATTCTTCTTCACTGAGATGTTTCGTGTTGCGTGGATCACAAGCCAGCATTAGGAACTCTAAGCCTTGACTCGCCCACCTGTAATGAAACAATTGAAGATACTTTTTTATTTTTTTAATTCTATTGACTTATTTAATCGGGAGTCTAGAGAACCAAAACTATTTTATGAAGGGTGAATTTTCTACGTTCTATTTTTATATTGACGTTATTTAAAAAACATATCTTAAACCAATTTTGTAAGTTCTGTTTTTAATTTGACGTCATTCTAACTGCAAAATCCATATAGTTGTGTGAAACGTTGCGCGACTTCGATTTTTACACGTACTATTAGCAAATAAATATATTTGGTCTAAATTTTGTGTGCCTGAGAAAGTGTACGTAGAATTAGCCATGATATGAAGAATGCTATTGGAAGGCTAGTAATCCCCCCCTTCCTCCAATCCCTGAATCTCAATAATACTGAAATTTCTGATCTTCAAAAGGCCCGTAACGCACTAGAGTAACGCTTGCTTTTGCGTCCATGGGTGGCGCCGATTGCTTATCATAGGTGATCCGTTTGCGCGTTTACCGGTTTATCATAAAAAAATACTAGGGTTCTAGATATATAAAGGACAGAACAAGAAGTGGTACCTAGGCCGCAGCCCCCGGCCGCGGTCGCAGCGCTCGACGACGAAGTGCATCCAGCAGCGCGCGAAGTGTATGATGGCGCGCGCCACCCGCGCCGCCCACGCGCGCTCCTCGCACGTGGGGCCCGCCGCCGCCGCCGCAGCCACCGGCGCCGCGCCGCCGCCGCCGCGCAGCAGCGCCTCCATGCTGCCCTGCCACTGGGGGGCACACATCATCATCATCGTCATCAACAGCCTATATATGCCCACTGCTGAGCAAAGCCTCTTCTCACACGGAGAAGGTTTGAGCATTAATCACCACGCTTGCTCAATGCGGGTTGGCGATTACAAACTTATAATTAGAAATTATAAACCCAGGTTTCCTCACGATGTTTTCCTTCACCGTTTGTCAGTGGTGTCTAAATAATCTTAGAAAGTACATATAACTCGGAAAAAGTCACATTGGTACTTGCCGTTGGTAGGTTTCGAACCCTCATGCATGAGAAGCGGGCATCTTAAACCTCCAGGCCACCAAAACACATAAGTTCGTAAAAGATGCTGATGATGAGATCAAGAAGGATTTCTCAAAAAGAGGGCCGATACGGGTGCAATGTTTATTTTTCTATGTTGAAATATAAAATCTATAATAAATAAATAATCAAATCATATATCGATCAATCAAGTCATATTATATAATTTAGAAACATGAAAAAAGTAATTCATCCTTACAGTGGTATCAAAGGACTTAGTACAAGTTTGTTTTACGTTTAGAGTAATCGAAAGGAGTAAACGGCACTCTGATTGGCCGACACCAATGCACCAACCAATTAGAGCGCCAAACGCTCTCTCGATTACTTTTACGTCAAACAAACTCATACTAAGGACCATGAAATACTTATTACGTTACTCAGACGTTCAATATATTTCCTTCTCGCCTGATAAGTAATAGAGATCTCCCATCAGATACACTCTATGTACAAAATCGTTAAAAACACAGTACAAAAAAAGAAAAACATACAAAATTAACTAACCTGGTTCTCTCCAAAATTATGAATATTATCGAAGAGCCTCTCATCAAAGACACTGTTCTCGTATTCATCCACAATACTATCAGAGCGCATGAACCGCGAGCGTCGCGTCGGCGGCGGCGGGGCGGGACGCCGCGGTGCCGGCGCCACCGGCCGGGGCACCTCCGACACCAGGCGGTGCAGCTCCTTGTGCATCTGTCGTGGAATTATTGAACTGGTGATGGTTGGGGATACATTTGTACCTACAAGTGTGATTAACGAAATATGGTGTGCAAAATAAGAGTAATATTAGAATAATTCTATTTTAAACTTTGTTCTAAATGTTAAATTTTTTCCTATGGTGTGGGTGGTTTTACCAACAGCACATGAATCTAATTTTAAAGATCACACAAATAATTGAATGGTTATTATTATGCAACACCATATTTCGTAAATCACTTCGTAGATTCATTATACCCGTGCAACATAAAAAGCCAAATCCCAAAGATTCAAGAGTTACATGAATAAAATGAGGTTCTATGTCATTCATTGGACAATTGACAACTAGAATGTAACGTCTCCTGTTAAAATGCCACTACACTGTAAATGCAAAACCACACAAAGCGACAAAACAAACAAGAATTCAAACCAATATCTCACGTCATTTTCAAACCCAAAATTAGCCACAATGTCAACCGAAGCCATAACACAAACTATGGATTAATGGAGTCTTCATAACTGCGACTGTTCTAGCAACTTCCAAAACAGGGTTAGCACCAAACTATAATGACTACTATGACCTATATCACACGGTTGTCAATCGCGTGCGTACTTTTACCACTCGAATGTGAAAACAAGTTAACGAATGGCGACATTGTAGTTGGTTTTGAATAACTTTCATTATTTGCGTCATTATCTTATTATTTACATTTTTATATTATTTACGCAACATAAAATTCTTCCAAGCAGTCCTTCGGCAACTACAATATTAGTTAGAAAACCAACTATAATATAGCCATAAGTCAAACTCAAACTCAAAACCAAAATCCAGTCGACAACGCAGCCGAAGAAATATCAACGCAACGGATCCGGGACGTCGACGCAGACGGCACCTATGGATCCCAAGCGGCGGGGAGCCGTACCAGGGGATTAATGGACTCATGCACGATGACGGTCTCGGGCCGGCGGCGGCGCTCGACGGCCGGGGACCGGACCGGTTGCAGGGACACGGGCCGCAGGCGGCGCAGGGCCGCGTCCTCGGGCCGCGCCGCGTGCACGAACTTGTATAGCTCTTTGTGCAGCTGTGGACAAGCGGACGTCATGCGCGCTCGTGCGGACGTACTTACGGGTACGTGTACGTGGGCGTGGGCGTGTTAGTGGCGAGCTGTGCAGTGTGCTAGTGTACGACAGGTGGACATACTATTGTAACGTACAAGTGAAACAGTAATGTAATTGATTCAGAATTTGGACAAAACATGTGAAAGAAAGGATAGAATGTAAACATTGCAATAGAGGGAAAATTTGAATAACACTTATATTAATAAATTTAATTGTATATTGTGTTAAGTTTATCGTTTGCTCATTGCAAAGCTATCAGTTATAACATGACAGTTAGTATATTAGGTAATTAAAAGCGCTTCAGGCACTTGGCACTAAGTGACTAAGAGAGAAAAATATTAGAAAGCTGTTATTAGTATGAAATTGTTACTAAAGCGTAACTTAGGTACTCAGACAATAATAGAATATGTATGCCTTAACACTACAATGTTTTTAATAAATTTATTCGGCTTACATATATTATTTTGGGGATGTCCGACTAGTTTCGACCTCATAATTAAGAGCTCCAGTATTGCTTGAAATTAGTCAAGCATTCCCAAAATTAGGTAAACCGACTGAACATTATTTAATCTGTTATATAATTTACGTGTGGCTTATGACGTGTGTAGTTAGTTACCTCGAAGCCGAGTTTGTACATCTGCAGCAGTAGCTCGCGCACGCGCACGACGACGGTCTCGGTGAGGTCGCGGGGCAAGTCTTCGCTCGCAGCCATTCGGGACTTGTCCAGTACGAACTCGATGTGAGACGTTATGAAGTCACGGATAGCCATTATTGAGTTCTGTGGAGTGATGAGATATTATTTTAGTGTTGGACCTAAAGGGCTAACTGAGAATATTTTGACCGTTATAAATTGTGGAACATAATAAGAAGTAATAGTTTTATATTACAGTTGATTCACATACTACTTATTATACGGGATTTTATTGCAGACATTTCGAACCAATTTTTAATCGAAGTGCATGTATCAAAGACATCTTGCCGTTAAGTTTAAAAAAAAATTGTACGGAAAAATCATGGTAAGAAATAAGCATTAAGATTACTGAACTGACACGCGAAAGAATAATAAGAGATCGTATCAAGTTAGACATGTTATCTTATTCCTAACCGGTGTACAATTAAAAAAACATATTATTAACTCGTCGAATACCGGTTTTATAGACACAATTAAAGAACAATAGGTCGCGGTCACCGGTGACCGCTTGGTGTTTGACAGATTAAGTAAAGCAGCGTACTCACAAAGATATGTCCCCGCTGCAGCAGGTAGGCGGGCGGCGGCGCGCGCGCCAGGCGGGCGGCCAGCGCGCGCGCCCACTGCGCGGCCTGCAGCGTGGCGTCGCGCGAGGACGCGTACATGCGCTGCGCGCTGCGGCATACCTCGTATATCGCGTGCCGGCTGCTGCGGCCCAAGTCAATGCTCAATTATCATGGTTTTCGGCTTATTCACGTTATTATAATATGATGAGACATTTTTGAAAAGAGTAACGACTACCTCTTTGGCCTAGTGATAGCAAGTGCGACTGCCGGGCAAGGGGTCTCGGGTTCGATTCCCGGGTCGGGCAAAGTATTACTGGGTTTAAAAAAAATCTTAGTAGTAGCATGGAGTCTGGAAATGTGCCCGGTATATGGTAATAGGCCCTATTACATGGGACTCATAACATAAATAATGAAAAGTGTTACTTCTGTGTGCACCTCTGCCTACCCCTACAGGGATAAAAGGCGTGATGTTATGTCATGTTATGTTATGTTGTAACGACTGAGTTTCTTGTTTGTTCTTCTCCATTCAAAACTACACTTTGAAACGAGCGCCTAGCTTCACTGATAATGCAATTTGACGTTTTAAAAGTGCCTAATTAATAAAGAGTTGCAATAATTGCATTGTTTTTGACTTTGAGGAACTCGACTAGTTTCAAGCCATACTAAAGGCGTTCATTCAGATTCATTAGCATCATGTTAATTTTAAAATAAGTATCTACAAAGTTATGATATAAATAAAATAAAACTTCTTGCTAAGCAAGCCAACAGCCGATTAAATTACTATTATTTTTTTGTGATAAACCAGAAAACGAGTACGCAGATCACTTGATGATAAGCAATCGGCGCCGCCCATGTTACAAGTACTTTACGGCCCTTTTCGAGTTAGAGATTTGAGAACCCTAGAAAATAGGGGCTCATTCACCAATTAGTAATGTTTTTTTTTTGTTGCACTTTATTCGATTCGGCGCAATATTTTTTATTTTTTTTAAAAAAACTTTGCCCCACACTAGGATTTTCTCCTGTGTCGTGGGTGCGTTTACAAACATACAAGTTCACATACACAAAGACACCCAGACCCGAAACAACAATTTGTGGATCACACAAAGTGTTGTCCCGTGCGGGAATCGAACCCGCGACACGTTGCACGGCAGCCTGTTGCACAGCCACCGCACCAACCGTGCATATGGAACACTAAATTGACAAATGACAAAGATACTTCTGGAGTCGCCTGTTCAGTGGCGTTGTACGGTGATTACAACGAGCATCTCAATGGTTGAGGTAGTCATCTACGTCGTTGCGCCTGTGCGACTCACTGACCAATGAGGTAAACACAATAAAACTAAGTGTTTATATAGAAAAGAGAGACAAAAACATGAGATTGAGTGAGATAAAACAATAATAAATAATGATAATGTTATTGTTCGGGGAATATTAAGTTATACCAACAATACAATGCACTTACTTGTCTAGATCAGTGATGTCCTTGCTCTTATTCTTGATACTATTTATGGATTCCTCTTTAAATTGTTTCAGTAGTCTGTCCAGCTGATTGCATGTGATTTCGCTGAAATAAATAATCTTTCGTTAGCATCGATCAGTTCAAGTCGTTCAGTTAGTTCAGATATTTCAGGCAGTTCAAGAAGTTCAGATAGTTCAAGTCGTTCAAGTCGTAGTATAGTGTAGTGTAATACATACGAGAATGCCTCAGGCGCGAGTACAGCGGCGCACTTGATCCGCTTGGCGAGCTGGGCGGTGAACGCCCACTCCGCCTGCAGCCGGGAGCGGGGCATGTGCTCCGTCACAGACACTGTGCTCAGGTACGACAGGTATTGCTGGGAACATCACCATCATTAGTTGGAAAACATCCACTGTTAGAACTCACACATCTCCTTTAAGAGCTGACAAAACACTTTAGGAAACGCAGTTAGGTTATTAAAAGTTTATTAGAATGCAGTCTATACAAATTTTACAAAATTACTATTATTTAGAGGTATATTAGAGTAGTAGAAGTAGATGGGCCTGACTCCGTCTTGAGCAAGCGTGGTGATTAATGGGCATTCCTTCTCCGTGTAAGAGGCCCTTTGATTAGCAGTGAGCATTTATAGACTGTCGATGTGTGATGTGAAGAAGATGGATAGAGAGGATCATTATCACAATGAAAGAAGTAAAGAATATTGTTTAGATACCTTGAGTAACGTCTCGACAGTAGAATCAAAAGTATTAGTAAGTAGTATGAGGTCGTCGGCGGCCCGGCCGGGCGCGCGGCCCCCCAGCGCGGCCTGGACGTGGAGGGCGAAGTCCGCGCGCATCTCCGACGCTATGTCTAGACCCTCGCGAATCTCGTGGATTAACTGCAACGACAACAATATGTATTGTTACTGATTGCTACTCAACAGATAAGTCCTTGATATCAGTTACAAACACTCGAATACTGAAAGGCTACTCAATTGTAATTTGTACTTAAATATCGTACCAATCTTGTCGTTTTACAAAGAATTTGTGGTCAAAGTCAAAACATTTATTTCTATTAAACCATAATTTGGTGGTTTTGAAACGTCAAAAAATAGTCAGTCTGTCCGTTAGAGAAGCTAGGCGGTCGTTCCAAAGTGTCGATTCAAATGGAGAAGAACAAGCAAGAAACTCCATTCGTTACTCTTTTAAAAAACAAAGTTTTTGTGTTCGTGACAGAACTATTTTTAAGTGAGACTTAAAATCGAGTGTTTCAGTATTCGGGCATAAAGTGAGGGAATACTGCTATTGTTAAGATATTGAATTCGAATTTTAAGAATTATATATTTTTGTTTATCAAAATCGACATAAATGGCGAATAGTACATGTTACTATATCACAATCCTCGAACATACAAAGTTGCATGCTGCATCTAAAACTCAGCGTATATGCTAGCAAAACCATTATCAACACGGATTTTGAAGTTCTGTTATAGGTTGCGTACCTATAAATCAATCAGATCTTTTTTTAGACAGTTGATCGACAACAAGTGAAGAAGACGAATGACATAGTGTGCCTTGGTGTAGTAATGAACGTGTAGTAGTGCTGGTACCTGTTTGACGGTGAGACAGGAGGGGTGGTCGGGGCGCGCCTCGAGGCGGAAGGCGAGGTAGTCGTGCACGGCCTCCATGCACATGCACGACAGCAGCACGAAGTGCGCGCGGTACGACGGCAGCCGCATCGACATGCACTCCGGGGACCAGCAGCCGTACCTGCAGGGACACCTACTCATTCACATCTGGTCAACGAGCACACGCAAGCGGCGTCGCTCATGGGCACTCGGAATAATAGAGGCGTTACAAGTGCGTTACCGAAGTTATACATTTGAGGAGTAACTAAAATCGCGGGTTACTCACGTGAATATACTGAGAAAAGCTCTACTAGTTTCGAACCACAGAGGGGTTCTTCCTCATGAGCAGCGGGCGCGGTCGCGGCGATCAGTAGGCTGCGCGCCATCGCCTTTCAACAGAGCTTTTCTAAGCATATTCACGTGAGTAACCCGCAAGTTTTTGTTAATTTAGTATGTCTCACGATATTTGTTTAAAAAACAATTTAAAGATTGTTGGAGATGCAAAGATTAGAGAAATTGAAAAGGTTAATTGGACCTATTATAACCTCTCTCGCACGACGAAACACAAAGCAAACGTTGTTTTACGTCGGCTTCCTGTGAAATCGTGGTAGCACTTTTCTCCCACAATTAAATTTGTGTTAAGAAAAATATTATCATTATGAACATCTCGGGAGACAAATATTGAAGTCTGTCTATACGTTCAGAAAATAACGATAAGATCGTTCTTATAACAATAATCTCTTAACACGCTAGCTGTGTAAGTCACTAGCAACCGTTGGGGAACAATTTCCCTTTAACAATTTTATATCATATCACATCAAGTATTGACTATGTATGTATGTGTGTACCTCCGTAGCTCATAAGTCTTCATTTCATCCTCATCGTGCGCGGCGTCAGGTCGCTCAGTGTTTGGTTCCTCGAACACCTCCTCCGTGTCGTCGTCAACGAAACTGTCTGATTGTGTCGACTGTAGGGGAGACATTAGAAACTTTTTAGTAGAATCCTTACTTATATTATAAATCAGAAAGTGAGTTTGTTTGTTTGTTTGTTTGTTTGTTCCGCCTTCACGCCGCAGACGTAAAGTTAGAAGTCTAGATTAAATAATAGGGTATCTCGCTCGCTTTTTATATCTCGCTTTTTATCCCGGAAAAAATTGATATTTTCTAGGAAATCAAAAATATTGGTATAGATGGCGCTGTATGTAATGGTATAGATGGCGTTGTATGTCATTTAAAAGCAGTCAACGAATTACCTACTTATTGGAAAAATCTAAATAGCGCGATATAACCGAATTCCACGCGAGCCGAAAGCTATTTGTTTGTTTGCCTGTCCTAAACGGCAGAACGGAGGTACTAATTAACGTGATTTTTTAACTGAAGGTAGTTGAACGGATGGATAGTCACATAGGCTACTTTTTATCCTTTTGTGACGCGAGCGAAGCCGCGGGTAAAAGCTAGTTAAAAAATAATGTGCTTAGTGGTAAAACTTTGACAGGTTATTTACAGGCTTTTTATGAAGGATCTGCATATTTCAGATGCAAACATAATTTTAAAACAAAAAATATGCGTAAAAAGCCAGCATCTAACTTCATCAACATCAGTTCAGCAGATTAATAGAAATAGTATTGTATACTAACGTCTGGTTTCTCGAGCGTGAGGTAGACCTTGTCGAGCAGGTTGAGTCGCATCTTGTATATGAACATCATGCACCGCCGCACGCCTTGTGTCTTCAGGATCTCCTGGTGGTAGTCTCTGTCAGGTACAGGAGGCATGAGGTTAAAAGTTGCATTAAGACTTATTATAAGATGGGGTTAAATCAGATTTTTGTGAAATAGTTCATAATAGAAGTTAAAGAACAAAGTAGCAAAGGACAAATAAATTTTCGAATATTACTCAAATTATAAATAAAATATAAATATATATACAATATTTATTTGCTCAAACACATGTGTACATACAGTAAATATGATTCATGATAGATTCATATTTTACCTGTAAAGCGAAACCTTGCACTTCTCAAGCAGTCTCATCTGTGTCAACTCAGCTAGACCCCCAATCTCGAACGCATCGTTAGCGACAGGGGGTCCCTCACTGGACATGTATCCGCTCTCGTTGGAGGCTTGGGGGTCCCCCCAGCGATAGGGACCGGCTACGTCCGGGGTGCCTAGTCCGTTGCAGTCTGGTAATTCTATTTCTGTGGAGATATTTTTGGTTGTAATTTGTTATTAACAAATGTAGGAGAGCCATGTTTCGGCACGAATGGTCCAGCTCGACCGGAGTTATACCACGGTCTCACAAAAAGCCGACGTGAAACAACGAAGCAACATCGGAGAGATAACTTGAGACTCAATTTTCTCCCTTCCCTATTCCTTTTCAGTCAAAAGGCAGACAACACTTGTAGTTACAACACTTGTAGTGGCACTTTACATATTATTTTGCGTACATTGCTTACCATCACGTGATGCCTACTATTTTACTAGTTCATCCCATAAGAGAAGGGGTCTTAAAAACGCAATCAACTCAATCGTGTGGTTCATGGAATAGCTACGAAATTACAATATAATGGAAACCCCAACTCACTGCAATCCTCAGCGCTGTCGAGTTCATCCCCAGCCTTGTCGACGTCCCCTTGCTGCGCGGGCTCCCCGGGCGCGGCGTCGGCGGAGTGGTCGCTGGCGTCGCTGCTGCTGGAGTCGGACGGGTGCGCCGACGGACTGCACACGTTGAAGCGGACCTGGCATGGACGAGTCTCCGACGATTGTCTATACATTGTAACAAAGTTTGTCTTAAAGAAGTATTTATTAACTTTCTGAAACTTTACAGTGTGATTACTTGCATTGAATCGACCTAAAGAAAGCTCGATGTTATCGGCATTGTACACGAATGATGTTTGTCTATGAAAACTATATGTTAAACAGCAAAATGATGGTGACAGGGTTATTCTTGGATTTGTCTTCTGCTTTCGACACTATTGACCACGATCTACTTTTGACTAAGATGCATCATTACGGAATAAGAGGAAAAGCTCTAAAACTGATGTTATCATACCTAAAAACAAGAAAAGCCTTGTTGATATAAGCAGTGTTGATGAATTCGGTAACTTCACCGTGTATAGAATGGCTATTGGGACTGACTTCCATAAAATCAGGTGTACCGCAAGGATCGATTTTGGGTCCAATTCATACTGTTTACAAATGACCTAATCAGTTTTGTATCTTTTAACGGATGGTTTACAGCAAAACAGAAAGAGAAGGAAGGGAAAAGCGATACGAGTTCCTTTAAATACCAACTGAAGCATTTCCTATCGATAAATGTCTGTACTCAATCGACGAACTGAGATAGTGTTATTGCAGTGTTTTGTTGACATGTAATTTAATTTAAAAATTTAATTACCGAATAATTAATTTAGCCTTATCCTGAAAATTGGCAAATTAGGTATGTAATTTATTTCGTAATGTGTTGTATTACGTTATTTATATTTTTATTAATATTTTAATTGTTCTCTCATGTATTCGTATTATGTTTTTATTGTGTGATATTACTTAGCAGCTTATATTTATATTGCAATGTAATCTATGGTTATGAAGACATTCAAATACAATGCAAATTATTTAATGAATAAATGAAATGAAAGTGAGAAAGAATTAAGGAATGATGGTCAGGTCATTAACTCAGTACCATTGGTCATATAGTTTTGTTTTAACCACTGTTAAAAACCTGTAGTGTAGTCGTTAGATACAAAAAACTGTAGTTAGCAGGAGGCTCTTCAGTGGCATGTTATTGAAGAAGCCTCACATATAATTTAAAATAGGATGATGACGATGAGCTAATAATTATGATGCTGCCCGATATGCCTTGCGCCTATACCTGCTGATGCTGGAGTCGACGGAGGTCCGTTGCTGCGCCTGCCTGCGCTGGCTCTTGAGTCGGATGGAGCGCAGCATGCGGCGCATGGCGACCAGCTTCAGGCGCATGTGCAGCGCCGTGTTGTACCACAGGCACATCGCCTGCGGACACCAGGGGGTTATGGGACTTGCCAACGTTAATACACAGTACATTTTCAAGGAACAACGCTTGAAAAATGCTCATGTAAAAATAAAACTTTTATCGTGAACTTTACAGATAGAAAGGTGTTAACGTTATTACATTTTGAGTTTATTTGACGATTTTGCATCGATTGTCGTAATAACTAACAAATATATCTAAAATAGTTGTACAAATAATAAGATGAATTCTTAAAACATACTACAAACATAATTCACATTCATTTCCATTCACGCAGGCCAATAGTAAAAGCAAAATTCAATCAAAATGTACCTTAACCCTATTCTGGAACAGTGGAGTAGCGACGAGCGGATGCTCCGTGGTCATGTTCCTGGAGGACGGGTACAGCGACACGGCCCCGTAGAAGGAGTCCAGCAGGCCGGCCACCTCGCGCATGGCGCGCCCGATGGCGCCCGCGCACGCCTCGCACGAGAACGACAGGCAGCCGAACTGGGCCTCCTCTGTGGCACGACGTATTTATATTAATAGGGTAGTTACCTACATTTTATTTTAATGTCCGACTGGTACATTAATTTAAAACTTTAAACACGTATTTTTCCTTTTCTCACAAAATTAAATACTTTCGACGATATATTAATTTGAAATATCGTGTAACAACCTTCCACTTCTAAGCTGGATTAAAGCGCCATTTTATCTAAGTATTGCAACTTATTACGAGAAAATAAAAAAAACGTGTCTAATATTTTTTTGATTATCTAACTGATGAACTAATTAGATTTTCAGTTTTGATACCCTGGAAACTAAACAATTGTAGAACATGTCAATACAGTACTATAACCATATCTTTTAGAGTTCTATACCTCCAAAAGAAACACCAGAATCCTTTTTATCACTTTATTGTCCGTCCATGAAGGTCCTTTCTTTTATAATAACTACTTTCAGTAAACCTCATTCGAGAAAATCTCTACTAGTTTCGACGCACACTGGGACTCATGTTCATGAGCTAGGTTTGCTGGGCGGTGATGTATCGTGCAGACATCTTAATAAGCCAGTCAGTCTAGTAGAACTTTTTTTCAATAGTTCTTACTAGTAAGCATACATTTTAATTATTATGACTTTCACAATAAAATTTATTAGTTCTTATAACATAACATCACGCCTTATGTCCCCGAAGGGGTAGGCAGAGGTGAATATAACGGCACTTAATGCCACTGTACAATGTAACACCCACTTTTCACTATTTATGAGTCCCATGTAATAGGGGGTGAGCCTATTGCCACATACCGAGCACATTTCCAGACTCCGTGCTACTACTGAGATTTTTTTTAAAACCCAGTAATACTTTGCTCGACCCGGGAATCGAACCCGAAACCCCTTGCCCGGCCAGCCAATGAGGCAGTTATTAGATCTTAGAGAATCAAAATAAAAATTTATGGTACCTTCGCTCGGCTCCTCATAGTTCTCCTCGGCAGTGAGATCCTCTTGTGACTTGATAGTGTCCAGCGCGCGCTTGCTGTTCGCTCGGCACGGGTTCTTGTTTATAAACCTGGAATAATATTAATATAGATTTAGACACGACCATTGAGAACATGTCTATGATACAAAAATTCTATACATTCTCCTTTAAGTACTGAACTGGTAAGAATTTATTTCTAAATTCTGGACAAACTCTTCATTTAACAGACTGTCAGCTTTATAACTTTGAAAGATGAATTGAATTAGCATCTATAGTTGCATATAAATGCCACAACCATTTTTCTTATTTCTAAAAGATATAGTATTTATTTCATGTAATCAACTAATGCAGTAAATAAAAAAGATTTTGTCAAATTTTAACAACAACTTAAGGCACAGTTCAGTATCTATTTAGAAGTAAATAGGTTACAACTATTTAACAAAAATGCTAGGACCAAGTAACACTCTATGGTTTCCGTCTACCCTCCCACGATCATCATCGTGGTCAGCAAACACAATAAATCTAATCCTACCATGTAAGTATAAACGAGTGAGAGAACACTTCCTTTCCTCCTAATATGTAAATTTCTTCATTTATATGTAAAGGTATAGTTTTTTCTTCATTTATATGTATAGTTTATATTTTGTATGTATTTATTTATATATTGTATGTAGTTGTTTGGTTATTTATCTGTTAGTTTTAAGTCTGTTTCCTATCCCAATTTTCTATTTGTTACTACACACTGTGTCATTATATTATTATTACTTTTCCTGCTCCAGGTCCACAGGAAGAAATTCCAATAGGATTCCAAATGTGGTACCTTTGTACTTTAATTTTATGTATGTGTTGTCCTTTATGTTGTATGTGTGTAAATAAATAAATAAATATAAGATAACCTATTTGCTAAGTATAAGATAACGAACCTATATTCAAGAATATTATTAATAATTTTGGGCACGACGTTCCTCTGCGCGCATAGATACGCGTCCTGCTGCGCCAGGGTCCTGCCAGATATCTTGGCTTGCAGCTCCAACCAGATCAGGTCCTTCAGCTCGTTCTGCCATACTTGTTCCTCTCGACTTATCTGTAATAGTACTGATATTACGACCTTTTCGAAAGTTGCGCCATATTATGTAACGAATTGTAACGATTGTTTGTAAGACTTGACAACTGGTACCATGAGTCAGAAGTATATTTTTTCAAATATTTCGTGGATATTGCTATAAAAAAATATTGAGCAATAGAGCATTCCTGTTGTTTGTTACTGAGAATTTTATTATGTGTAGTTAATCATTATGTGCAGAGGTCAATGTTCTGATTATCGATTTTGAAATCGCTAATCCTTGGATAATCGATACAATCGAGACTGCTTGTAAACTTTAATAAGCGAAATAGAACACAACACATGAAGTAAAACCCCAAGTAATTTAGAATAAAAGCAGAAAGAAGAAGAAATTTGGAACATAGTAAATATACATTTTCTTGCTCTATTTTTTCCATTGAAATTTACTTTGGAAAGAGCACATCGTTGTTGACTATGTAACTACATTAAAGAGTTAAGGGTTATCTTAATCTATATAGAATAATTAAACTATTAAAGATTTGATTTACAAATTCTACTTACGATACCACATTCTAACTCCATAGATCGAGAGGCAGCTTACTCAAGATTAGTATCCCCAGGAAATTGAGTTAGTAACAGAGAGAGTTTCACTTTTGCGGACAAGAAGGCCTACATTACCTGTGCCATAGAACATACATTACTCACGGCTCTCTTACAGCCCTTCTCGATGTTGCCCATGTTGATGAGCAGGCTGAATGTCTTGTGGAAGTTGACGCGGCTGGGAGGCAGGTCCTCGTCGCCGTCACACCGCCACCTGTCCTCCGTGTCGGCCGGCAGGGAGGGCTCCGGCCCAGCAACCTCGCGGTGCTTCGGCCGGGACGTCAGCGACATGAACCGGCTGCATGATTCCACCTGCGAGTGCAACTATATCCTTCATGTTGGAGTACTCGTACAAAAAGATAGATTTTTATGGTTGTAGAAGATACAAAAGGGTGCAATTCCAGTATTTATTTCACTTTTAATTGTCAGAAGGAATAAACAGCATTGAATCTTAAGCGTAATGCAAAGCATTATTCTAAGCTCAGTTTTATTATACTCATATACTCGAGACTGTCCTATGGACTCCTATGGGGTCAAAGAAGTTTAGTTACAAAACTTTCAAACACAAAATTAAATGAAGGTCCTTGATCGTTACAATATTTAATTATCAATCGAGAACGGCTGGTCCGATTTTGATGATTGTTTTTTTTCGGATAGTAAAATAACTAACGATTATTGGTAAATTCGTATTAAACTTACTAGTGTGGGCACGGCAGGCATGGGGTTGGGTGAGGGCAGCGAGTCTGCCCTGACGTCGTGGCTCATGTCCTGCTTGCTGTCCCGCGCACGCGACCTCAGCAGCTTCAGGCTGCTGCGCTTCTTCGGACGGTCTGGCACTGGAATATTGTGATTGAACATGTCAAGATTTGTCTAAATTGATTCATTAACTCGTCGAATACCGGTTTTATAGACACAATTAAAGAACAATAGGTCGCGGTCACCGGTGACCGCTTGGTATTTGACAGTTTAAAAAATGCACGTCCTTTAAAAAAACATTAACGTAAAAATGACCTTTAAAATTAATTCTCTCTAAAATGATAAGATGATATTTAATTAGGGAGAATCGACATAAGTATTATGCTGACCCCAAGTAACTTAAGATGAGAACAGGAAACATTAAGATGATACAAACCAATAAATGATGAAGTGGTTATTAGTAATTTATGTAATTAGTGCTCAAAAGACTGGTAACAATCACTTACTCTGATTGTTACCAGTCTTTTGAGCACCTACTTCATGACAACGCTAACGATGATTTTTTCGATACTTTAAGTTAGATTTCTTTAGCCTATTATTTCTTATATTAATGTAATAGTTACTTACTGGGAGAGGTCTGGTCATAGGTGGGGTAGTCCACGACGTCCTTCCTCTCGCGGAGCAGACGCTGGAACCCCGGGGTGGCATCCAGGTGGTTTCTGGAACAATCAACATAACTATTTAGTCTATTTTAATACACAGACAAATAAAACACCAAATAATATCAAACATAGACACTAGAAAAATGTTCTGAATTCTACAAAAATATTAACACGTATTGGTTATCTTTAAAAAGTATGTCTGTATATTCAAATCACCTTAAATTATAATCCAGCATGACACTACACCAAACAAATTTAAAAATTAAAAAGTTCTATTATCAAAGACGTGAGATGTGTATCACCTATCAAAGATCACTAACTCACTAAGCGCCACAAAACCATCAACATGACTAGTTATAAAATTTTTGATAAACTAATAAAACAGCCTACGTCATCGTTATAATGACGTAATGAAGACTGCTCGACACCCTCGCACATAGGTAACATGATGTAGAGTAGTTTTGAATCGTAAAGCGAAATATTGCATGTCATCCTTTGACATTTGGAACGGTGTACACTATTTATCGTTGTCACGATTTTCATGCGGGGGTGTGATTGAATCAAAGTAATGTTTTACATAATCCAATACAGTAGAGGACCTATGTATAGTACATAGTGGCCGGAAATGAGCTGATGATGATGATAAACGCTCTTTTATGAACATAAATGTGTGCTAGCTAATCCTACGATCGAAATCTTGCTCCTATAAGCTGCAAGTCCCGTGTTAACAAATAAAAATCCTACTTCAGGGTACAGGTATACCTTGAATTCTAGGTGTACCTGTTATCAAAACTATTACAACATTTGAATTGACCTAGACAAGAGTCTTTCAAGTTAAGATCTTTACCTTTGTCCAGCCTCCATAAAAAACCTCCAATTATAAACACTATAGTTGCCACGCAGTATCACCGTGATACGTTTTTGTGTTGTCATCATTAAATTAACTACCTTTAGCACTTAGTTTTAGAATGAACCGGTAGAATAGCGGGTACAGTTCAAGGCCCAACATTTTTTCCTTAAGACGATATTGAGAAACATCGCGATTTCTTTGGAACTTCGCACAAATATACAAACAATAGTGCTTTGATCAGAATAGGTTGCAAACGTTCCGGTTTCAGATATGGACGGTGACTAACATAAGGCATCATCTATTACAAGCATTTTTATCATAATGTAACTAATTAGTCTGGTGTATGGATATGTGAGCTATGTATGACGTTTATGTGTTGTGTTCCTTATTAAATTCGCTCAATGATATTTTCAAACTTCATACTATTACTGAAAACGACTGCTAAATTAATCAGGTAAAATAGTGGTCAAACGCCTATTACTATTATATATATGTACTATATATACTATTACCCATTACCGATATAAATATGGCTTAAGCAGGGTTTGAGCCCGTGTCTTTATGCTTAGTCATATTTGCACGAATCTATCATTAAGACATTGTTAAAAATGTTACATGACATACCGTCTTCTCAATCGTCAATTGGAATTCCAATAAATAGCTCTACATAATTACATCAACGAATAAATGATTCAATCAAGAGTTTTTACAAATCCAATTCAACCAAATTATATTTTTTTTTTTTACAAATAGCTCTATCCATTGGAGCTAACCGCATCAAAATACGCGCTAGTTTTCAAGATCATCGCGCACATACAGGCGGGCGTCTTTGTTTTTAATAGTGATGATAGACAAAACTGTTATTAATGACAATTTAATGGCCCATTGAATATATCTACTCATAAATATATCAACGTGCTACGCATTACATTGACATTCCTTCATTTAATAAGTAGGCACTGTATTCTTAAGGGGGAAATCACGACGGGAGGGAGTGTGACTCTTAGTGACTAAAAACCACCCCTTTCCTACCCCTGCACTTCGAGCCGGAGCCCCGGTAACCCGTTAAGTTCTCCGCGCTCCGTATGGTCATCAGCCCTATTGGGCCCCATTCGTGGTGGTCTGATGGCTCTTTGAGGCGCGCGCGGAACGCGACGCGCCGTACGCTCGGGTCTGGTTCGCTATTAGTATTATAAGTTTCTCAAGCAGAATGGGTAGCAGAAAAGCAGAAAGGCCGGGACAAAAAACCTAAGTTGACCTATTAAAACTACACTTCCTAAGATGACACATAGATGTTTAATATCTGTTCAGTAGTTTCAGATTTCAGGTCCAGATAAGCAAGCAACAACTGTCCTTCTATTGGAATAGTCGTGCAAAGTGAACAAAGTTATGAGTACCATGTTGTTTTATCGGCAAGCGTTGCCAGGTATATCGTGTTTGTTTACCATTACCAAAGACCTGTAACTAATTGTTATATCACACTTACATAGTAAATACATAATTGCCTATTATCGACTGCAATAGTCCTTGGGTAAGACCAAGGACTTCAGTTCAATACGGGTCCAGAAAAGTATAATAAATAACCTATTCAATATTGAATTCTCAAAGTCCAAATGAGAGATTAATAACTCTGGAATTGTGCCATATATTACAAGAGACCTATAAATAACTGGCGAAAATTACGTATTTCATTTTAATGCTATGTCAAGGAGTTATGTGCAAGAATTTCATCAGAATGGAATTTAGTTTCATCTATCAAGCAACTTCATAGGAAGCATAAGTACTTATCTTAAGTGCAAGTAAACAAAATGACTACGTTATTATGCCTGTACAGTGTACACGCTGCTAAGTCACGATTAAAGAGCTGTAGTAACGTCTAGGTGTGTTAATTATTAATATCAACATAAACCATAATGATTGTTTTAAAACACACACGAAAAAAGCGATATTTGGCAACATCACCGTTCAGTTTTATAGATATTTCCGTCGATATGATCAACAATATTACATTATGTATTTGTTTGTAATCACTCAGAAACTGCTGCAAACCGCTTCGTCCATGACATTGAAATGTGATGCTTGGACGCCACGTAAGAACTAGTGTTATTAATGTTAACAGATTTGTTACAAAAAGTTATAACGACGTCTACAGCTCTTGACAGTCCTCTGCTGGACTTTTTATAATATTTCTGTGGGTTTGCCTTATGGCAACTGTGGAGATTATTCTCCACACTGCTTGACAGTGTTCATAGTTCAGGTCAGAACAATCACGGTGTAACTCACGTTGACTGCACGGTTGGTGCGGTGGTTGGGCGCGGGTTCGATTCCCGCACGGAACAACTCTTTGTATGTGAACTTGTATGTTTGTAAACGCCCCCACGACAGGAGAAAATTCTAGTGTGGGGCAACGTTTAACAAAAAACACGGAGTAATGACAAAAATGTTCTATAGTAAAGAACTAACCATCTTACAAGTTAATTCAGATACTATAATTATCAAATTTTTATGATATCACATTTTTCACGGATTATCTCATTCATCTCCTGTTTTTTTATATTTTATAAGTCTAATATGCTGTTTACATAGAATAACTAAGTATTATAATTATTTATAGATCACTGATAAGAACAACCTAACTTTATCACGGAACGCAATGATTGTACTTTGATCGATGATTAACTGCGTATTAATTACTCATTACAGACTCTATGCAAATTATACAGTACATTACATAATCTCTACATTACACTTCATTATATTTATTACATAAGTTTATAAACAAAACAAATTAAAAACATAAAATAAGTACAACAATTAAATAATATTAACTTCCAAAGGTGTAGACCCACAAAAATTACTATAGCTATGGGAGTATGGATAGACCGAAGTACGCCCACTAATTTCGCTAGTTACATTTTCCAATCCTGTTTTGTTTTACCAGAAACTGCTAAACAAATTTTGATAAAACTCTATTTTTATACTAATCTTACGTTTACGATCAGTGTATTCTTTTATCGCATTAAAAACATTGGACCATGAAAAGAAGAATCTGTCTTGTTATAGATAAAAAGGAGATATCATTGAGGATGCTTATCTACAAATAGAATAAAAATAAAAATGATCAAAACACTGGTATTCAGTTACAATATACCTAAATAAACATACTGACTGACTGGTACTGTCTCTGTCCACGTTTCACTGACGTGGTTTCACCAATCGGAGTACGTTATAACGCAATATAATTGCAAATTATATAAAAATGGTGAAATATTTACATAGTGATACACAACTATAACATAATTATATGTATCTATGTAGGTACCTGTATTATCGGTTACCTGATCTGATAGATGACCCAACACGATTCTGTTAAATTATCCAACTATAGTATTATCTAAGCAATCTGCTTGTCATTTTTGTTTTATTTAAAGTTTACATTGATTGTTTGTCCAAAATAATACGGTGTCGGGTGTATTATACGCATGTGCTATGCTCGTCAAATTTAAATAGGGTAGATGCCTAATTTTTATTTTAATGTCCGATTATTTTAAATCATTAGACACGTATTTTTTATTTTCTTACAGAAACGACGATATATTGATTTGAAATGTCGCGTGACGTCACTTCTATGTAAATTTTACACGTAGAAATGACGTTTTATCCCCCACTCCTTAACTTTGATTCGTTTTATCTAAGTATTGTTTTATTATAGGTACAACAAAATAAAAAAAATACGTGTCTAATATTTTTTAATTACCTAACTTATGGAATAATTAGATTTTTAATTTTCAGACCCTTTTTTTAATGGGACAAGCCCGCCACAACCTCCCAAAACCGCTGCAACTCCTGTAAGCCAGGATCTACAGTAGATACAACCATGAAAACACCGGAACATTGAAGTCCGGCGCGTCCCAGGGACATGAGTAACTGTCTTGGTTCCCGCAACGAAGTGAATCAGAAGATATTATAAGAGGAGAAGAAGAAAAAACTGTAGTTTCCACTTCCCTCGGTGAATTACTGCAGGAGACAGAATGAATTAAGCCTAAAGGCACAAAGAAAAGACTGTACAACTGGGTGAAGCCCAGTCGCCAAGCACCACGGAAATTTGACTAAAAAACTAAGTGGGTCCTATGTGTGAGCTGTTATACTTGGTTCCAATAATAGGTATGGCAAAAGCGCCTAAACGCACGGAAATTTGTTCTAGATT